CACTAATAAATTCTTAATTGTCTAAATCAACTGAAGACAAACCTGGTCAACATTACAGATAATTTATGCATACAAAATCAGTAAGTCTGAGCAAATAAATAATGTGAAGAAAAGTAATACAGAATTCTAATGAGAATATATCCAACATTGCTTATTAAATTTCAAAAGATTCTGTGTAAAAGCGTGGAAAACATCCAAGGAGGGATTTAAAAATGGAAAATGTTTATTTCAGAAAGCAAATAGGATTTGTTCCGTCAAATCTACTGTGGAAAAATCTCAAGAGAGAAATTGCATAGGATAGCTAAAAGTCTTAAAAAATCACAACTAATATTAATAATTGGGATCAGGTCATGCCTTCCTCCATGTGTCATAATTTAAAATTAGAAAGTCTTCGTCAGTTAATGAAGTCATAAATTGGCAAATTCAAAGGAGACAAAAAAACCCTTTATACATAGTACGTGGTTAATTTGTGATACCCATTTCAACACTGCATTGACAAAGCCAATAAACTAGAAAGGTTTGGAGAAGTGAAATTTGAGCAGAAAAAAGTGTAAGTAATATAGCAGAAATAACCAGAATTAAACTAGTAAATATAGAAAATACTTTGGAGAACTATAGAGTTTAAGCCAATTTATAACTGTCACATTGAGATTAAATTTAGGCTCAGATTATCCCATATTTGCTCACTGCACAGTCTCTCGCACTTTCCTTTGAAGTCCAAAGTTGGCAAAAGCTTCTGAATTAGGTCATTTGATCCTGTGTGTAAATCCTTTTGTCTAGAGTTTTTAACTATAGGATTCCAAAATTGGGTTATATTTATGACTATTTGAACATGAAAAGCATCTGTGTCTATATAACATTGGTATTTACTGTAATCTTACTAGGATATACATGGTGCTGTTTTGCCAGCTACTCATTTTGTTGGCATGTTATGAATTTGCTGTTGACACTGGCTGTGTATTTTGAGGCTGAAAGCTGAACATCTGCTTGTGTGCTTTGATGAGAGGGAGAGAAATGGAGTTTTTACATGGCACATCTACGTATCTTTTACCTAAAGGCCCATGAACTGAGGCCATCAACTGAGGCCAATGTTTTCCAAAATTGAGATGACCTACCCCATCCTAAAGGAGGTAGACAACGACTCTTGAGATCTTTTTAGGACTGAAGAAGTACCATTTCAAAGACAGATCCTGAGCTGATTTTGGAATTCTGTCTGTATATGCCAGGATTTGAGGTGTTTGGGCTGAGTGGCCATAGTCACCACACTAGCTGTGGAAACAAGGAGGAGCCTGAGGCTACATGTACGCTGCCTGAAGCAGCAAAAGGCATCCCCAGGTACCAAGATGATGGGTGCGGCCTGCTCCTTTGAAGGGCCATGTCACACCAGTCTAGCTCAGGCCGAGGCTGCCCCTGCTTCCAGAGCAAATGCCAGCAGCACTCCCTGCACTGGCTTTGCTTCCCTGTGCATGTGCACTGGGAGCAGCCTTGCAAGACAACATGCATATTTGACTACCTTCTGTCTGCCAGCTGGGCTATTTTCAAGCACTGGGAAGACGTTTCCTCCCTTCTCAGGGGTGGGCTTTACTCTTCCTGGTGTATTGAGGGCAGTATTTACTGCGAGCTGCCAGACTGGAAGGTGTCCCCTCCCTGAGGTCACTCTGGTGGGTAGCTGTTGGGCCTCTGAGGCAGTGGCCTGGGCATATTGACAGAATCACAGAATCATCTAGGTTGGAAAAGACCTTGAAGATGATCCAGTCCAACCATTAACCTAACACTGACAGTTCCCAACTACACCAGATCCCTCAGTGCTGTGTCAACCTGACTCTTAAACACCTCCAGGGATGGGGACTCCACCCCTCCCTGGGCAGCCCATTCCAACACCTAACAACCCCTTCTGGAAAGAAATGCTTCCTAATACCCAGTCTAAACCTTCCCTGGCACAACTTGAGGCCATTCCCTCTGTTCCTATCGCTTATTACTCGGTTAAAGAGGCTCACCCCCAGCTCTCTGCACCCTCCTTTCAGGGAGCTGTAGAGGGCGATGAGGTCTCCCCTCAGCCTCCTCTTCTCCAGACTAAACACCCCCAGTTCCCTCAGCCGCTCCCCGTACGACCTGTGCTCCAGACCCTGCACCAGCTTCGTCGCCTACATTTGAGTAACTCGGTGTCCTTTCTTCCCACTGGTTGGTCTCTCACCAGACTCCCAGGTGTTCAACCTCAGATGCACAGTTCTGCGGTTTCAAGAACTGTGGTATTTTCGTTGGGGTGGGCTATGCCCGCCGCTCTTGCCGGAGGGTCACCAGCAAGGCTGGAGACTACCGGCCCCCAGGAGCCTCCTCACGCCGGAGGGGGCAGCGGCGTTGACGGCGGCGGCCCTGCCTCTTTCTAACAAAGGTTTA